TATTATTTATCTTGTTTATTTAAATATTATTAAAGATTTATTTTAATTATATTATGAAATGTTATAACTGACTAATTTTTCAAAAATGTTCTTTTTTGTTATTTTACATTTTTCATCTAGCGTATCAACTAGTTTTTATCAAAAATAATTTATTCATTAATTAGCTTTTTAGCTTCTAGCTAACAGTTAGTTTATCAACTAGTTTGCCAAGTATAACCGGTGGAATAAAAATAATAATAAGGTAGGACAAAAACCTAATTTCATAAAACAAAACTAAAGTTTGTTGGTCAACCCAAAAAAAAAATTATTATTTCACTCTAAAAAAACAACAATTACTATTTCACTCCTAAAATAACAAAATCATTACTATATATGGAAAAAATCTGCATTAGTTTATAATTGTAAATAACCTTTAAATATAATGACTAAAATGAAGTTGGTTAACTTTAAAGATTCTAATTAATTAATAACGTATCATTATTTAAAGGGAAAATTGCACCAAAATGGAACCAATTTTCACCTAATTTCTATTTTGGGGAACCAACTTTCAAAATCGTCATTTTGGGGAACCAACTTGCATCTGATTTCTAATTTAGGGAACCAACTTGCACCTGATTTTTATTTTGGGGAATCAACTTTCAAAATCGTCATTTTGGGGAACAAACTTGCACCTTATTCCTATTTTGGGGAACCAACTTGCAAAATAATTATAGAAAAATAACTAAAATTCGTTTTTTTCCAAAAATTAATGCAATAAAATCTATTTTTCATTTCAAATCTCGTTTTTTTTAATTCATATATCAAATTGAATATTTTTAAAAAAATCCAAATTACCACAATAAAATTTGTTTTTTACTAATGCAAAAAAAATCAATTTAATAGAAAAAAATTAATTGATGCATTAAAAAATAAATATTAGGGGAAATTGCAACAAAATGAAACCAACTTTCACCTGATGCCTATTTTGGGGAACCAACTTTCAAATCGTCATTTAGGGGTCTCTATCAAACTTTTTATTTATTTAAAGGTTTGGTTGATCTGTTGAACAATTAACAGGTAATTTAAGGGTCTCTATCAAACTTTTGGTTTGATTTGCCAAATTTGATTTAAACTTTAATATTGATACGTATTGGTTAGATATAAAAATCTTGAATGTGATTTTTAATATTTATTTTTTATTGCATCAATTAATTTTTTTCTATTAAATTGATTTTTTTTTGTATTAGTCAAAAACAATTTTTATTGTGGTAATTTGGAATTTTTTTTAAAAATGTTCAATTTGATATCTGAATTAAAAAAAACGAGATTTGAGATGAAAAATAGATTTTATTGCATTAATTTTTGGAAAAAAAGAATTTTAATTATTTTTTTATAATTATTTTGCAAGTTGGTTCCCCAAAATAGTAATCAGATGCAAGTTGGTTCCCCAAAATGACGATTTTAAAAGTTGGTTCTCCAAAATATAAATTAGGTAAAAGTTGGTTCCATTTTGGTGCAATTTTCTCTTATTTAAAATACATTCAAAAATTATATATATATATATATGTGTGTGTGTATATATATATGTACATATATATATATATATAATAGTGTACTATTTTATAGTTTGTATGTATATATATAAGAAAATACGACATTATAATATATATACATACACGTATATAGTAATGATTTTGTCATGTTAGGAGGATGAAATAGTAATTTTGTTTTTTTTTTATCTAGGGTGAAATAATAATTTTTTTGGGTGGACCAAAAAACTTTAATTTTGTCCCTTGAAATTACGTTTTTATCCCACCTTATTTTCCTCTCATGTCATCCTAAAATTATGTTTGGTAAATTAGTTGATATATTAATTATTAGCTAGTAAGCTAACTAATCAACATATTATGTTTATAAAAACTAGCTGATACACAAGATGAAACATGCAAAATAACTAAAAAGAAAATCTTGGGAAATTAATCAATTACAATATTTTATAATATAATAAAAAATCTTTTGTAATATAAATACAAACAAGATAAAAAAATATAATATATTAATTAAAATAATTTTAAATTGATTATTATAATATGTAT